GACAAAACTTTCAAATTTCCGACATGCCCCCCATTTGCACTCGAAAAGACTGTTTTTAGCCCTCTTTTAGGTCAAAATTTCCGAAAATTCGTCAATTTTCCATGAAGGTGGGGGGGGGGTGATCGCCCCCCCGCCCCACCAAGATTTCCGCCACTGTTCACCCATTCATTTGCCTTGAAATAACAGGGGAGTGGGAACTATGATATTAACCCAATTAATGTCCAAGACTTTTTCTTTGACAAGTAAATACTAAAGTATGGTGCATGGGGGCCCACTGTGCATCAATGGGATAAATTAAAAGAACAGAGGAAGAATTATAGAATTGAATAAATTTTTGTCGAATGACCTAGATAAAATTGCTTAATATGTACCCATTAGTTTTTTTATTTACCTTTTTAAAGAATTCATCTACATTTTGTTTTGATGTTCTCCAAGAAGATAGTGTCTTGTACAACTCTTCAAATCCCCCCTTAAAAATATGAAAGACAATGTCTCTAAATGCAATTTATAACCTTAGTCAAATATAATCAATAAGTTTTACTGATGTATATTTCATTTATCTCAGGAATTACCAGCCCCAAACCAGTGTGGGAGGAGAGGGGTGCAACAACCAACCAATCAGACACGAGACGCAAGTATGAAGTGAAGTGGCAGCGTAATTATGTAATGAAAACAAACAGACATTGTGCACAACGTGTGAGAGTTTTAAATAATGAATTTTTGAAGCTTTCTCAAATAACCTCAAAAATGGCTAAGCTCCGCTAAAGTGATGCAATGTTTGCTGATTTCGACTTTAAGTAACACCTCTTGGGTCGGATAAGCGTTCATATCGCTTGACGTGATAATGCTTAGTTTAACGTTGTATTGAGAATGACAAGGCCATTGAGAAATTTTGCTCATCTTTCAAGGTTAGCCTTTTACCAGTTTTTTTAAAGAATTTCAATACGGCGCTTCGTTCAATAAACATTCTTTTGTCGTCGCCATTTGTATTATTCAAGAAGCACGGACCGGAAGTGAGAACACCTTGAATCAGAATCTGAATGGCAAATTCATTTTTATTAAGGACGGTTGCAAGCACTTTATTTTTCCTTCGCCCTTTTTCTCTTCGCCCATTTTTTCTAACCTGCCATTTATTCAAAAATCCTCAAAACCTACAATAAAATAAAGGACTGCTATGCAGGCTACTTTCAGTTTGGCAAGCGCACATACAGGTTATGTTCCCAGTTTTCTGCACAAATTTGTTTGTTGAGCTTCAACTCTATCACAAACGTAAATTCTTAAGAGGGCTTGTCAGTAAATATCAAACAAGTTTGGCCAACCTTCAAAAATCGTTTTAGCTCGTATTTCCAGGAATGATAGGCCTAAGTATCCCAAGAATTGCTGTGTAGTTAATTTGATCAAACATTGCTTTTTAGAGGAGAAATTCGCATTTTTTCGAAGACGGTTGGAAATGCTATTTTTAGCCCCTACAATTGACTGCACTTTAGCGGCTTCAACCCAAGAAAATACTGATTCTATGCACATAAAACTACCTCAGTCTACTAGTACAATTCTCACTCGACAGATTGTGCGACTTTGGAGTCAATAGAACAATTCTGACCTTTGAAATTAATCTTATTCGCAAGACACGTAAAACGAGTCGATAAAAGTATGTTTTACAAAAATTCATATTGTGAATGTGCTTAAGCTTTGAATGCCTTGAAACGTTGCTAATCTCAAGTCTAAATAATGATCTTTCGAATGATATAAAGATTACTTTGGGCAAATGACTGTGCGTTACGCTATTGCTTCCCAAAGTTGGTTCATATTGCTCACCTTTGACCCGTGCCGTCACTCTACACAAGACAAAATCCATGTGTTTATCGTATAAACAAAAGAGTCTCAATTGATATTTGTGACATTTAAATCAAATCAATAGTATTAAGAACAAAGTACTTACATGTTTTGTTCTGAAAGTACTCCAAAGTAGCATTTAAACTGTGTCTTTTATACAAAACATCTCATAAATACTCCTGGCTTGTCAAAATGTCAACAGTTTTGAAACAGTATATCCTATCCATATCAGGTTAGTGTGTTTTCTGACCATCGGAGTCCGTTACAAGCACTGATTTTAACTGATATTATTCATATCATTCAGCAGTTGCATGAAAAAACGAAAATGTAAATGAATCTAATATACTTTTAGTGTAAATATTAAAATAAACAACAAACCAATCTTTGCAACGTAACTTCCTCTTCAACTTTCTTCAATTTCCTTTTTGTGAAAATTTTCATTCGATTAATGTAATAGACAACCTGCAAACAGACATACTCTAGATGCATTGATGTTACAAAATATGGAAGTTTGCTGCTCGTTAAAGTCAATTGTTGGAGGACTATGTGGAGCGGATACCAGAAATAGAGAACAGGACGAAGTACTAGTAGTCCCCTTACTTTCGTGCGAGAAAGACATCACAACACACACGGCATCGTACTCGTTTTCTGGACCGGAAAATGAGGTGGACTTGATCTTGTGTCGTGCTGCTATTTTCACGAGGCCAGATGATATCACTTCAATGTCGATATGTCC